GATTAGGAGGAGAGAGAGGAGGACGGTCATGGAGATGAATACGAGCTTGGATTTCGGAAACTGGCGGGGGCTGTTGGCGGTGGTGGTGGCGGAGGATAATATGGGTGATGTTGAGGATTCGGTGGGCCTCATTGAATTCAATTTTCTTCACGTGAATGTAATAAATAATGTTGGCTGGCGAATAATTACATACATAGATTTGTGTGTGTGTGAGGAAAGATTAGAGCATTAAAATAATTAAATGCTGCCAAAGCCAGTTATTGAGAGATATGGTTGATTGATGTAATGAATGTATTGTGGCATGAGAAAAATGATATATATAGCCATTTTGGCAGTGAGAAAGATGGAAAAAGATAGTGCCCTGGTTTTTCGCCATTTATTTATTTATTTTTTGTCTGAAACACATAAATTTACAAAACCAAACTCATAAATGTACACAAAGTGGGAAATTGAAAGATATTTTATTTGGCATTAGTTCGTCAGTTCGAACAAGCACCTGGAACCACAGAAATAAAGGGAAGGTCTTTATTTACTTTATTTTCTTAATTAAGCTTATTTTATATTCCATATATAAGATTGTGGAGATCTTATTATGGTATTACTTATTGTAGGAGATCGGACGTAAAAGAGATAAAGAAAAGAAGAGACGTGCATGGACAGGGAATCAAAGAGAGAGAATAAAAGATTTACTTGCCAAAGATATGCTATTCTTATGGAAGTAAATCAAGCTTGGAGTCCTATGCCTTGTAGAAGACTCCAACCCTAAGGAGTTCATATAAATACCCTGGGAGAAGCTCCTATTGCGGCTGATGAAGTCAGAGAGATTTTTAGAGCAATATTTGAGCTTTATATTTTCTGTTCTTTTCAGTTGTACGCAGTTCAGTACGAGAGTTCTTACAAACTCAAAGACTGAAGTTGTTTTTGCTTAGTTTCTTTGTTTCATCAAACTATCTTTTACTTTTACACTTAGGGAGTAAGTGTAGGATAAAAAGTTCACGAGACGTGGCCAGAGAAATAGTTGATAGGATCGTGAGTAGTGTTGGCTAGGCTTAAAGGGAGTTTGAGTCTCTGTAAGTCCAAACTATGTTCGTGTTCGATCTATCAATGAAGGAGCTCTGAGTAGAAGTGGGATGCTTCCCTGAAGAGTTTTTAAATCTTCGGTTTATAGCTTCCGCATTTTACAGTTCTTATTTTAGTTCGTACTACAATTAGCGTACTCCGTGATAATTATACGTTTCAATCGGCACCAGAGCAGTGTTCCTGTCTAA